GAAGTTGTGGAGAGCAAATGATCAACCTACTTAACGAGTTTTAGTAAACGGATAGCAGATCAGGATTAGGACGGAGAGTAAGGCGGCAGATATTGCTCATAGCTACAAAATGATAGGAAGTTGTGGAGAGCAATGATCAACCTACTTAACGAGTTTTAGTAAACGGATAGCAGATCAGGGATTAGGACTGAGAGTAAGGCGACAAATATTGCTTATAGCTACAAAATGATAGGAAGTTGTGGAGAGCAATGATCAACCTAGTTAACGAGTTTTAGTAAACGGATATCAGATCAGGATTAGGACGGAGAGTATAAGACATATATTGCTCATAGCTACAAATGATAGGAAGTTGTGGAGAGCAATGATCAACCTAGTTAACGAGCTTTAGTAAACGGATATCAGATCAGGATTAGGACGGAGAGTAAGGCGACAAATATTGCTTATAGATACAAATGATAGGAAGTTGTGAGAGCAATGATCAACCTACTTAACGAGTTTTAGTAAACGGATAGCAGATCAGGGATTAGGACGGAGAGTAAGGCGACAAATATTGCTTTATAGCTACAAATGATAGGAAGTTGTGGAGAGCAATGATCAAGCTTAGTTAACGAGTTTTAGTAAACGGATAGCAGATCAGGGATTAGGACGGAGAGTAAGGTGACAAATATTGCTTATAGCTACCAATGATAGGAAGTTGTGGAGAGCAATGATCAACCTATTTAACGAGTTTTAGTAAACGGATAGCAGATCAGGATTAGGACGGAGAGTAAGGCGACAAATATTGCTTATAGCTACAAATGATAGAAAGTTGTGGAGAGCAATGATCAACCTACTTAACGAGTTTTAGTAAACGGATAGCAGATCAGGGATTAGGACGGAGAGTAAGGCGACAAATATTGCTCATAGCTACAAATGATAGGAAGTTGTGGAGAGCAATGATCGACCTACTTAACGAGTTTTAGTAAACGGATAGCAGATCAGGGATTAGGACGGAGAGTAAGGCGACAGATATTGCTCATAGCTACAAATGATAGGAAGTTGTGGAGAGCAATGATCAACCTACTTAACAAGTTTTAGTTAACGGATAGCAGATCAGATTTTAGGACGGAGAGTAAGGAGACAAATATTGCTTATAGCTACAAATGATAGAAAGTTGTGGAGAGCAATGATCAACCTACTTAACGAGTTTTAGTAAACGGTAGCAGATCAGGATTAGGACGGAGAGTATATGACAAATATTGCTCATAGCTACACATGATAGGAAGTTGTGGAGAGCAATGATCAACCTACTTAACGAGTTTTAGTAAACGGATAGCAGATCAGGGATTAGGACGGAGAGTAAGGCGACAGATATTGCTCATAGCTACAAATGATAGGAAGTTGTGGAGAGCAATGATCAACCTACTTAACGAGTTTTAGTAAACGGATAGCAGATCAGGGATTAGGACTGAGAGTAAGGCGACAAATATTGCTTATAGCTACAAATGATAGGAAGTTGTGGAGAGCAATGATCAACCTAGTTAACGAGTTTTAGTAAACGGATATCATATTAGGGATTAGGACGGAGAGTAAGGCGACAAATATTGCTCATAGCTACAAATGATAGGAAGTTGTGGAGAGCAATGATCAACCTAGTTAACGAGCTTTAGTAAACGGATATCAGATCAGGGATTAGGACGGAGAGTAAGGCGACAAATATTGCTTATAGATACAAATGATAGGAAGTTGTGGAGAGCAATGATCAACCTACTTAACGAGTTTTAGTAAACGGATAGCAGATCAGGGATTAGGACGGAGAGTAAGGCGACAAATATTGCTTATAGCTACAAATGATAGGAAGTTGTGGAGAGCAATGATCAAGCTAGTTAACGAGTTTTAGTAAACGGATAGCAGATCAGGGATTAGGACGGAGAGTAAGGTGACAAATATTGCTTATAGCTACCAATGATAGGAAGTTGTGGAGAGCAATGATCAACCCATTTAACGAGTTTTAGTAAACGGATAGCAGATCAGGATTAGGACGGAGAGTAAGGGACAAATATTGCTTATAGCTACAAATGATAGGAAGTTGTGGAGAGCAATGATCAACCTAGTTAACGAGTTTTAGTAAACGGATAGCAGATCAGGGATTAGGACGGAGAGTAAGGCGACAAATATTGCTTATAGCTACCAATGATAGGAAGTTGTGGAGAGCAATGATCAACCTACTTAACGAGTTTTAGTAAACGGATAGCAGATCAGGGATTAGGACGGAGAGTAAGGCGACAAATATTGCTCATAGCTACAAATGATAGGAAGTTGTGGAGAGCAATGATCGACCTACTTAACGAGTTTTAGTAAACGGATATCAGAACAGGGATTAGAACGGAGAGTAAGGCGACAAATATTGCTTATAGCTACAAATGATAGGAAGTTGTGGAGAGCAATGATCAACCTAGTTAACGAGTTTTAGTAAACGGATAGCAGATCAGGGATTAGGACGGAGAGTAAGGAGACAAATATTGCTTATAGCTACAAATGATAGGAAGTTGTGGAGAGCAATGATCAACCTACTTAACGAGTTTTAGTAAACGGATATCAGATCAGGGATTAGAACGGAGAGTAAGGCGACAAATATTGCTCATAGCTACAAATGATAGGAAGTTGTGGAGAACAATGATCAACCTACTGTGACGGTTACACACCTGGCCCAGGGTCGGATCCTTTGGTTACGGCGCCAACGGTGACGTCGCTCCTCCTGGTCGCTCCTCCTGGGTCCAAGCGTGCCGCTCCAACCCCTTGGTCAGATGATCACCAGCCTCGCCTTTCCTGACTCGCTTCCAATACCTGGTCACTAAAGCAACTGTACTGATCTCCGGTCTGTCTACCCACGCTGTGTTTAGATCTTAGACAGACGGGACCAGCAGGGATTGGGGCCGATACAAGTTGAGTCCGACGGGGTGGCAAAAACACAAATAAAAGAGAAAATAAACTCACGAGACAAAAAGATTGCTGATGAAAAAAATGGGTAACAACCTTTTATATCTTAATGTCCGTTACATAAAAACAAAATTGTTCTCATTTCCCGACCCGCTCTGTGGACTATGGCAATCACACAAACCAAAGTTTTCTATCACACAATCTAAAGATTTCGAATTGCCTACTCTTTAGAATTGTGTATGTCGGAGTGTGGTTTGGTTCGACACTGGGGCTAATTTCTATCGATCATTCGCAGTTGATTCTTCTCTTCGACTTGAGTCGTTTTTCTTCTTCGTCGACTTAGGCTGGAAGTTCTCTTGTCTTCGACTTGGGCTGGAAGGATCTCTTGCCGCAACTCAGCTGCAACTCTCTGTCGTCCGAGGTGATCTCTTCTCGCTGCCGTCAGGGGCTGAACTCTTCTGTCTTCGACTTGGGCTGGGAGGATTTCTTGTCTGAGGATTCTTTTGCCCGCAAAGGGCGAGTGAATCGGGCCTGATGCCCGCGTTCAGGCTCTATCCCTGCCCGCGGTCCAGCTGCAACTCTCAACTCCAACTCATTTCTGTAGACTGGGGGTCCTGCTTTATTTGACGCCGCACCAAACTGGGGTGGGTCTGTCGGCGTCAGGGTTTTCTCGATAATTCCAAAAGTCGCATTATTTTTGATTTCTCATTATCGCTATTGTTTTCACCCCTACTTCCTCACAGTGCCTTTTGTGGGAGGTGCACACCCATCTCTCTTAGTCTCTTGTATGTCAGGTGACCGTTTTTCGACCAATGGTTCCTGATCGGGCATTTCTTTTCTTCTTTCTGCAGATCACGTGACCGTTTCCGACCAATTGTTATTGATCGAGCATCCTTTCTCCTCCTTTCGGGCGTGGTTACATCGTTCTTGTTTTTAAAAAAAAAACAAAATCTAAGTTGGCCTTTTTCGCACGTACGAAAAATGATAATCTTGGCTTTTTCTCACCTGGGTTTTGTTAACACAGCCTGCCGCTAATTAGTTGTGACTTCAGGAAAGAATATTGTCGCCATCTGTGATCTGAGACAATCGTTTTTTTCACCTCTTGTTTTTTGTCAGACCCGGCAGTCAGAAAATCTTAATTTATCTGAATTGAAAACATCTTTCACTCGTCAATGTGGGGGTTCTAATTTTTAACAGCTCAGAATCTGTATACCGTTCCACCGGTCACTCCCCTCAACCCAAAAACACTTTTTCTCTGATTAAGATTTCGTTTTCATTTCTATTGTTCTAAAAAGAATTTCCCTTTCTCCAATTTGATAAGGTGTCTTTCTACGCAAAAGTAGGCTAGATGCTTTGACCGATATCTGGTTTTCATCAAGCGGCCCGTTTTGATATCATGTCTTTTCCCTTTTTTTCTTTTTTTATTATTTCTAATTCTATTCTTCCAATTGTCTTTAAAAATTCGGTCAACATGCTAGCTAAGATATCTTTCTGACTCGTGTTTTTGTTAATGACCGCTTTTTGTATTTCTCGACCTCTCTCTTTTCCCTTCCTTCTTCTTCCCTTAAGATCGTCTAAGTACAATCTTAGTGAATTATTTTCAACTCAATTATTTTCCGTTTTAAAAAAAAAATCAACAACTTGTTTAGTAAACCGAGTAAGAAAAAATTAAATCATATTTCTATGAATATTTTAATAATGCAAGGTGCCACAATCCTCCCTAACTGATTTGTCATTTACCCGTAAATGACACCTAAACCCAATTACATCATTTAACATGCACCGTGCATTTGTCTCATGCAATTCTATTCTACTTTCTAACATGCAAGGGTAATGTTCTTTCCATTTTCTTTTGTTCTACATGCAATGAAATGTTCTTTTCATTTTCTTTTGTTCTACATGCAATGAAATGTTTGTTTCATTTTCTTTTGTTCTACAGGCAATGTAATGTTCTTTTCATTTTCTTCTGTTCTACATGCAATGAAATGTTCTTTTCATTTTCTTCTGTTTTACATGCAAGGTAATGTGTGCGTGTGTTTGTAGGTGCAGATGTGTTCACTAGGGTTTGTTCTTCTTGGTCAATGTTTTCCTCTCTGCCGTGGGAGGTTTTTCCGCCGCACGTGGTGGTCTCACGCCAGCCTCCTCCATTGGTCTTTCAGCAATTTCTTCGCCAGTCCTGTCTGAGTAAGGAACACTGCTCGGCATCTCCCTCTCGAGTTGCTGCATGCTCACTAGACTGTCGTTCGCCAATCTTCTCTTACTCTTAATCTTCCATATTATTACACCCCGATGGCTATAACTAGGAATGTACCCATCACTATTGACCAACTTATCGCGATCTGCTCATCGTCTTCCCAAGCTACACCTTCGTCTCCCAACGCACTTAACTTATCCCTTAAGTGATCCATATCGATCTTTTCTATTGGCTTCATTAATACTGGCATCTTATTTAAGGTGACATTAGAGAATCTCTTCACTATCGGCTCCCATAATTCTGTACAATTGACTAAGCCTCTACCAATCATCTCTATGAGTGAATCTTTTTCTTCATACCTTTCTTCCATCTGGTAATAGGGGGCAAGGAGATGGACACCCCAACCGCCGAACATCCCATGGGTAGCGTCACCAGGGATAACGGTGGCCTTATTATTCTTAATGTCCTTGTGGACTCTCCCCACATACCCTAGACAGGCTGATATGTTTCTGTGTGGCTACTGCCCACACCCTGTCTGAAACACTGATAGCTTGTGGTAATGCTGAGTTTGTTAATATCTCTACTTGGCAGATTCTTTTGATTCCTTCCCCTTCCCTTCAAACAATTCTAATATGCACATTCTGCGGTTACCAGTTTTATAGATAGGGCTCAACGAGGTACAAGTCCCCAGGGTATCATCTCTACACCTTCTAGCTTCTTCAGCTGATAGCAACATAAATTTCGTTCTCCCCGAATTTAATGCTATGTAGTCTGCTTCCACCTTCTACCTTGCCATCATTCCTGAAAGGTAACAAATTCTCTTGTTGTTATTCTTCACAATCACTTAGTCTCGCTCGACTCATCACTCAATCATTTCATAACTTTTCTCTTAGTTCGGCTCTTCCCTCCCCTAACTAACCTCTAGCAGACAGAATGGTCCGGTCAGGTGTGCGTGGCGCCCACTCTAAAGGTCGTACTTCATGACACCACTGGTGGCCAATCAATAATGCCAATGATCTTCTTCCGTCCCTTGTGAGGTGCAGCCCGCGACTCCATCCCTCCACTCACATCTACCATAGTCAGCCAATAGGATTTTGATGAGCCAGTGTCGTTATCTGTCGACACTAAATGCTTCTATTCTGCACAGCCCTTTTGTTCTACTGAGATTTGGGGTTCTTCTCCTCCCTGATCTCATCTTCTGAGGTGATTCCTGTTCAACCTCTAACCTTCTTTTCTGGGTTTAACTCCTGTCCAGGAGGTTTTTTGTCCTCTTCTTCATCCCCTGATTCTTCTTTCTGTTTAGAGTCTTCGCCTTGAATGTCTTCAATACCTCTCGACTCTATGTCTAAACTTCTCCTGTTCTTTATCCTTTCCTTGCTGGGAAAGGGTATTCGATCCTCCTCCTCCCACTCGCTGGGTCCTTCGTCCTGTTCAGGGTGTCTCTTTTTTAGAGCCTTCTGACTGCTTGATTGGACCTCTTCGTCTTTTTTCTTCCTTTTCTTCGGACATGGGGGGTGATGGCGATCTCACGGGGTCTTTCTGCACTGATTCAGTCGACGACTGAACATCGCTAATCCCCGCTGAGGGTTCCAACTCTGTCACTCGGACTGCTTCGTTTATCTGGTCAAGTCGACCTATCTCTCATCTTCTTCGGAGTCTTCCTCCGTCTCCATTCCTTCCGGTTCAACCAGAGTTACCTTCCTTTTCCTTGTCTTCTTAGGCCTCGGCTCGCTCATTTCCAGGTTAGCTATTTCAGCCTTCTTCAGATCATTGGCATGAACCTCCTCGCTCGTCCTGCCACTTGATCCCATATTACATATGATACTGGGGCCTGTCTGCTCTACTATCCGGTAGTACGGTTCCCATCTCTGGTCCAGTTTTCCTTCTCTCTGGTGGATTTTATAGTAGACAGGGTCTCCAACCTTCAATTCTACCACCTTTCTTTCAGCATTCACCCTCTCATTTCTTTTCTTCTGGGCCCTCTTTATTCTTCTTCTGGCCTGTACGAATATCTTATGTTGCTGTTCCAGCAATAGTTGATGATGATCTTCTCCCATATACCTTCTTCGGGGCTTCAGTAGGTTATCTACAGGCAGGACCACGTCTCTGCCAAACAACAAAAAATAAGGAGAAAATCTGGAGGTTTCTGTTTATCGTAAACCTCACGGCCGCCAGAGCCTGCGTCAAATACAAGTCCCAATTTCCAGTGTTTTCTCTGACCAACTTGGCTAATACATCTCCCAAGGTTCTATGAAACCTTTCCACTTTAGCATTTCCCTGGGGGGGTGATATGGGGATGTTTTTATGTGCTCTACATTCAAACTTGTCAAACCTCTCTCATGATGCTGTTCACATTCTCCGTGCCATTATCTGTTACCAATTGCAATAGGGCACCATACCTAGGGAAGATTTCGCTTATTATCAACCCGGCCACAGTTCTGGCCTTCTTTGTCTGGTACTGCAAATGCCTCAGGCCAATTTGTTAGCCAATCGACAAAACTCACTATATAGTTGTTTCCTTGTGCAGTTTCCCCATATGGTCCTGATACATCCATACTCACTTTCTCGAAGGGGAAGTTTGGTACGTCTGTCTCCTCCAAGGGTGCCATTTCCTGCCTTCTGCTCTGCGACTGGCACACTACACAACTCCGAACATAGTTAGTGACTTCTCCGTACAGTTTGGGCCAATAGTACTTTCTTCCTATGAGATCACATGTCCTATCAATTCCCATGTGACCCAACCTTTCGTGGCACTGTTCCAATATCTCTGGTCTTAAACTTTTGGGCACATACAACTTGGGTTTGACTTCTTCATCCCTTCCTGAGAGATAATACAGCCTTTCCTCTATTATGGCATACTTGGTGGTCTCTCCTGCCTTTACCTTTTCTCTCTCAGAGCAGCTATTTCACTGTCTGCTTGCTCCTTTTCAATTCCTTCTGTCCAGTAGGGATCGGTTATTATCTGGGCGTCCCCTTCTTCGTCCGATTCTAATATAGGGCGATCTTTTAGCTTATTAGAGTTAATTACTCCTATTCTATAGGCTTTATCATCTACTCCCTGTTCTAACTTTACAGATCTTTCTTCCAGTTGCTTCGGTATTCTTGAGAGTAAATCTGCGCACGTGTTTTCTTTTCCTGCCAAATACTCTATCTTACAGTGGTAGCCACTTAACTTAAGTGCCCACTGTTGAATTTTTCTTATTATTTGTCCACTTTGCCTGCAATAGGTACTGCAGAGGCTTGTGGTCTGTCTTTATAGTGAAGACCGCACCATTTAAATAGTAGTCCAGTTTTGGAGAGCATACATGATAGCATATGCTTCCCTCTCTATTACTGGCCACCTCTGTTGTGTCTCTGAGAGTTTATGGGAGAGGAAGTATATCGGTACTTCCTCTGGTATGCCTGGCACTGGTCCTTCCTTATCAGGACACGGCTGGGTAAGTACTGCTCCTACACACTGCTCACTGGCATCCGTGTATAATATCATGGGCTTGTTGAGGTCTGGGTACGTCAGCAGTGGGACGGTTGTCAACTGTTCTTTTAGCGAATCAAATGCTCGTTGACAGTCCTCTGTCCACTTGAACCTAGCGTATTTCTTCGTCAGGGCCACTAGCGGTATGGCAATTCTTGAAAATGCCGGGACGAAGCGCCGGTAGTAGCCTATAGCTCCTATAAAACCTCTTACCTGCCTCACTGTCTTAGGCTCTGGCATTTCCTTTATGACCTTTACCTTATCCATGTCGGTTTAATACCGTCTCCGTTTATGACGAAGCTTTAAATACCTAGTTTCTTCCCTCAGAAACTGACACTTTGACAATTTCAATTTTAATCCGTGTTTCTCAACCTTCCCAACACCTGTCTTAAATGAAAAAAGTGTTGTTCCACTGTTCCGAAAATATCAAGATATCGTCTAAATACGCCATGGCAAAGCTCTCGTATCCTCCTAACACTATTGACATTAGCTGTTGGAAGACTCCGGGGCATTAGCTAAACCGAATGGCATCACTCTGAACTGAAACAGTCCCAGGTGACACGCGAATGCGGCCTTCTCCTTGTCAGCCTCATCCAGGGCTACTTGCCAATACCTGGACCTCAAGTCCAACGTAGAGAAGTACTTTGCCTTCCCTAATAATGCCAAATGTCGTCTATCAATGGCAATGGCACCGCCAACGGCTTCGATATAGAATTCAGCTTTCTAAAAATCTACACAGAAACGGTGGCCGCCATCTTTCTTACCTACTATTACTATTGGGAAGCTCCAAGGAGAGATCGATCTTTCGATCATCCCAGCTTCCAACATTTCCTCTACTGCCTCTTCTACAAGGGGTCTTTTATGTATAGGTGTTCGGTAGGGTTTTAATTTCACAGGGGTGGTCTCCGGTGTCGATTTTCATTTCGACTGTGTGGGTCTGACCTAGTTCCTTATCTGACTGGGCTACCACATCTCGATTGTTCCTTAACAGACCCCCCACTCTGGTTCTAAATTGATCCGGTGCTAATATATCCTCATCTAAGATTCCTTTTGTTTGCTCTACTAGCTTCCTTCGTTCCTCCTCGAATCTCACCCGATTCAGAGTTCGTAGGGGAAGTGCTCTTCCTATCTTCTCCCCTCTCCTAACCTTGATAGTCTTTTGGGCCTGGTTCACCATCATAATGGGCACCAACTCGGCTGCCTCCACTACCGTTTCGCACAGGGTTACCTCGTTATCTTCTAGGCCCTTTTCTTCTACAGGGACCAACTGCAGAGGTCCTCTCCGTACCTTTTTTTCTGACATTAGCCTACCCTTTCCCGACACTGCGGTCCTAGGAGGTAACTTTACATCTTCCTCCACCACTATGGTTATCTCTTCCTCTGGTGGGCATCCCAATGGCGTTCTCTCGCCGTTCACCACCAACACAGTAGGATTAAACTCAATCTGGGCCCTTGGCTCCGGAGCCAATCTTTCTCCCAAGATTGCCTCCGTACACAGGTCGGGGGTTACGTAAAAATTTTGGGTGCTTTTCACCCTCCCAATCCTCACCGGGAGCCTCACCATCCCTTTTATCTCCAGGGGGGGCCATCTGCTTGCGTGATCTCTATGTCCGCTTCCTGTAACCTTTCTTCCGTTTCACCCGCCTGTATGTCTCCTCTCTCATCAATGACACAGATGCTCCTGTGTCCACCAAAGCCCCTCATCTCTACCACCTATCTCTGCTCTACAGGATAGTTTCTCTCTTGCGTTAGCGAAGAGAACACCTGAGCTTTCTTCTTCCTGGGTCCCCACCTTTGGGTTAACCCAGCCATAGGCGCCGGTAGTAATAAATCACCTTCATTTTTTTTATGAGGTGGAGTTCTGCGCCCCCTGCACCTGGGCGACCCTGGCCGGACCTCTCCTGGTCTCCCATGGCCGTTTTAAGAATACAGTTTCTTTTCAGGTGTCCTGGCCTCCTGCAAAACCAGCACCTTCTTGCTGGACAGCTTGCCGCCAAGTGGCCCGCCCGACCACATGTCCAACATTTTGCTCTTTCCTTTTTTAACTGGGTTGGCCTTGTGTTCATCCTCGGGGAACCTGTCCTCTATTCAAGCGGTTCGCCCACCCACTGGTCCAAGCTTTTATTTCTCTCCTTTTTAACTGGGCCACCCTCCTCTTAATTCTGGGGTGGCCCGCTGGCTTTTCCCTGGGACGGTCTCTTGGGCTCAGCCTTCTTTGTTAATATCGGTGGGGCACCCTTCCTCAGCCCGCACCACTTGGCCAGGTGTCCTTTCTTACCACACCTGGTGCATCTGTCCTGATTGAAGTCTGGGGCAACCCCCACTTCGTCGGACATTCCGCCGCCCTGTGGTCCCTCGTACCCACAGGTCCAGCAGACCAGCCCGTATCGACCCGGCGTGGGCTTATAAAAGCCATGCCTGGTCGACCATGCCCTTCTATTGGGGTCCTCCTCCCATAATTCTGCCTGATCCACCTCTTCCTTAACCCTCTGATTCCACACGGGGTTCTTCCGCCTACCCCCCTTCTTCCAGCCTCCTGACTTGGTATCTGCTTCTTCCCACACCTCTTCACTTTATCCCACACCCCTGGCTCTCCCTGGCCAGCTCTATCGCTGCCGACAGTCTGAGCGGTCCTTCTTTCAATACGTCGTGACGAACACGCTCGTCGCTCAGCGCCTCTACATACAGGTCCGCCAGTTGAGCCTGCATAACCGCATTATCCCTGACCACTTCGGGGAATGCCAATGACGATAGCTTCCCCTGCTCGGGCCCCTAATTCTCCCGGGGTTTCATCCCGTAGCTGTGTCAGTTTTAAAGGGCCCTCATGGCCTCTATGGCCGTACCTTCGTCGGCGAATTCTTTGGTCAGCAGTTTTTTTTATTTCTTCCCAAGCCAAGGGGTTGGTTCTCCAAGAGCCCCTCACGAACTCAGACGCTTTTTCCCTTTGTGGCATCGTATGCCAAATACAGGGTTTCTTGGTCCGAGAGCTCGTAGATGGTTCGGCTCTTCTCGAGGATTGCCAGCCAGTTTTTAAACTCCTTCCCGCTGCCATCAAATACTGGGACCCTCGGTCCACCCAACAGCTTCCTTTAAATCCACTGACAACCCCCGCCCTACTTCTTCTTCACCCCCCACTGCTCTATCCGAATCATAATCTGACATGTCTACAGAGAAAGACAGTCTATACAGCAACAATCGAGGTTGGGAAACAAAACAAGGTGTCCTACCTTACAGACGATTCTGTTCTTTCTTTTCCTTTGGTCCCCGGTCGTTCTGAGTTCTGTCTGAATTTTCAGCAACGGCGGTCGATCGTGGTCTTCTCAGGGTTGAATCCCTCGGTCACCACGGCACCATATGTGACGTGGTTGTCTCAGGGTTGATCCGTTGGTCACGGCACCACTTGTGACGGTTACACACCTGGCCCAGGGTCGGATCCTTTGGTTACGGCGCCAACGGTGACGTCGCTCCTCCTGGTCGCTCCTCCTGGGTCCAAGCGTGCCGCTCCAACCCCTTGGTCAGATGATCACCAGCCTCGCCCTTTCCTGACTCGCTTCCAATACCTGGTCACTAAAGCAACTGTACCGATCTCCGGTCTGTCTACCCACGCTGTGTTTAGATCTTAGACAGACGGGACCAGCAGGGATTGGGGCCGACAAGTTGAGTCCGACGGGGTGGCAAAACACAAATAAAAGAGAAAATAAACTCACGAGACAAAAAAGATTGCTGATGAAAAAAATGGGTAACAACCTTTTTATATCTTAATGTCCGTTACATAAAAACAAAATTGTTCTCATTTCCCGACCCGCTCTGTGGACTATGGCACCAAGTTTTCTATCACACAACCTAAAGATTTCGAATTGCCTACTCTTTAGAATTGTGTATGTCGGAGTGTGGTTTGGTTCGACACTGGGGCTAATTTCTATCGATCATTCGCAGTTGATTCTTCTCTTCGACTTGAGTCGTATTTCTTCTTCTTCGTCGACTTAGGCTGGAAGTTCTCTTGTCTTCGACTTGGGCTGGAAGGATCTCTTGCCGCAACTCAGCCGCAACTCTCTGTCGTTCGAGGTGATCTCTTCTCGCTGCCGTCCGGGGCTGAACTCTTCTGTCTTCGACTTGGGCTGGGAGGATTTTTGTCTGAGGATTCTTTTGCCCGCAAAGGGCGAGTGAATCGGGCCTGATGCCCGCGTTCAGGCTCTATCCCTGCCCGCGGTCCAGCTGCAACTCTCAACTCCAACTCATTTCTGTCGACTGGGGTCCTGCTTTTATTGACGCCGCAACAAACTGGGGTGGGTCTGTCAGCGTCAGGGGTTTTCTCGATAATTCCAAAAGTCGCATTATTTTTGATTTCTCATTATCGCTATTGTTTTCACCCCTACTTCCTCACAGTGCCTTTTGTGGGGAGGTGCACACCCATCTCTCTTAGTCTCTTGTATGTCAGGTGACCGTTTTTCGACCAATGGTTCCTGATCGGGCATTTCTTTCTCTTCTTTTCTGCAGATCACGTGACCGTTTCCGACCAATTGTTATTGATCGAGCATCCTTTCTCCTCCTTTCGGGCGTGGTTACATCGTTCTTGTTTTAAAAAAAAAAAAATCTAAGTTGGCTTTTTTTTCGCACGTACGAAAAATGATAATCTTGGCTTTTTTCTCACCTGGGTTTTGTTAACACAGCCTGCCGCTAATTAGTTGTGACTTCAGGAAAGAATATTGTCGCCATCTGTGATCTGAGACAATCGTTTTTTTCACCTCTTGTTTTTTGTCAGACCCGGCAGTCAGAAAATCTTAATTTATCTGAATTGAAAACATCTTTCACTCGTCAATGTGGGGGTTCTAATTTTTTAACAGCTCAGAATCTGTATACCGTTCCACCGGTCACTCCCTCAACCCAAAAACACTTTTTTTCTCTGATTAAGATTTCGTTTTCATTTCTATTGTTCTAAAAGAATTTCCCTTTCTCCAATTTGATAAGGTGTCTTTCTACGCAAAAGTAGGCTAGATGCTTTGACCGATATCTGGTTTTCATCAAGCGGCCCGTTTTGATATCATGTCTTTCCCTTTCTTTTCTTTTTTATTATTTCTAATTCTATTCTTCCAATTGTCTTTAAAAAATTCGGTCAACATGCTAGCTAAGATATCTTTCTGACTCGTGTTTTTGTTAATGACCGCTTTTTGTATTTCTCGACCTCTCTCTTTCCCCTTCCTTCTTCTTCCCTTAAGATCGTCTAAGTACAATCTTAGTGAATTATTTTCAACTCAATTATTTTCCGTTTTAAAAAAAAAATTAACAACTTGTTTAGTAAACCGAGTAAGAAAAAATTAAATCATATTTCTATGAATATTTCTAATAATGCAAGGTGCCACACTACTTAACGAGTTTTAGTAAACGGATAGCAGATCAGGGATTAGGGCGGAGAGTAAGGAGACAAATATTGCTTATAGCTACAAAAGATAGGAAGTTGTGGAGAGCAATGATCGACCTAATTAACGAGTTTTAGTAAACGGATAGCAGATCAGGGATTAGGACGGAGAGTAAGGCGACAGATATTGCTTATATCTACAAATGTTAGGAAGTTGTGGAGTATCATAGTCGTCCCGTTTTCTAGTGACACGACACAAAAAAGAAGTCATATCTAAAATTTTCTTGATGGTCGGGGATCTACTTAAATGAAATGTAAGAAAAACCCAGAACGATTTTAGCAGGCCAAAAATATTTTTTTACAATACCCTTTTATTGATATTGTTCGATTCGTTTTATTTTTTACGGCTTTGTCAGCTCTTTGCAGGTTAGCTAAATCCTAAAACTGTTTTTAGATTGTTAATTTTTTTTGTGTGTGGGGGGTATATAATGCTGATTTAATGATACAAGTCTTACTAATTAACCCATAGCTGGAGGGAGAAAATGTGAATTCATACCTTTTCCCAAGGATATGTGAATAAACTAACCCAATAGGAATTGGAACTCAGCTCTCTGATTAAAAATTCCGAGCCATTACCAACCGCACATTCTAGCTTACATCATCTCATATTCCCAAGAGGTCACCCGCCATCTAGGTACTGATTAGGCTCGACGTTGCTTAACTTCGTTGATCGTACAAGAACCAATGTTTCAACATGATGATACCTTAAGCCTGCTGTTCATTGTTCGTGTTCAGATAAAAAATGTACGATTTTGGCAATTCAGTTCTATAATTATCACACATTATTCTATGATGAAACTGTAAAATAACTTTCATATATAACAATATCGAGATAATTACAAAATGAATTGCCATTGATGATGTCGTCAGAAATCATGCTTAACATCTTTGATAATATTAAAACATCATGAAAGCTGTGGTGGCGCAAGCGTGTGTACGGTGAGAGAGGACGCGGACAGCAGGGAATGACACTATCAGAGATCTTGACACCAAAGTGGTTCTATATAATTTTTTTGAATGAAGCAATAATTAAATAAAAATAGAAAAAAGGCTTCTGCCCAATTACGTTCATACAATATATGAAATATTATATTTAAG